AGACAATGGAAGTTGAATTCAATAAAATATCTGGAATTAAGAGTCTAATGATGACCATGTAGCCATTGCTGATTGTTGGAAAAACCCATCAGGTTCACTAATGTCCTTTAGGGAAGGAAACTGCCATCCTTACCTGGTCTGGCCTACATGTGAATCCAGACCCACAGCAATGTGGTTGACTCTTAACTGCCCTCTGGGAAATTAGGGATGGGCAATATATGCTGCCTAGCCAGCGACGCCCTCATCCCATGAATGAATTTTAAAAAAAAGTTACCTCAGAGTACAACGGGATCTTAATCAGATGGGCCAATGGGCCAAGGAGTGGCAGATGGAGTTAAATTTAGATAAATATGAGATGTTGCATTTTAGAAAGGCAAATCAGGGAAGGACTTAGACACTAAATGGTAAGGTCCTGGGGAGTGTTGCTGAACAAAAAGACCTTGCGGTGCAAGTTCATACTTCCTTGAAAGTGGAGTTGCATATAGATAAGATAGTGAAGAAAGCATTTGGTATGCTTGCCTTTATTGGACAGTGCATTGAGTATTGGAGTTGGGAGGTCATGTTGCAGCTTTGCAGGGACATTGGTTAGGCCATTATTGGAATACTGTGTGCAATTCTAGTCTCCCTGCTATAGGAAGGATGTTGTGAAACTTGAAAGGATTGAGAAAAGATGTACAAAGATATTGCCAGGGTTGGAGGATTTGAGCTAAAGGAAGAGGTTGATTGACTAGGGCTATTTTCTCTGAACGTCGAAGGCTGAGGGGTGAACTTATAAAGGTTTATAAAATCATGAGGGGCATAGATAGGGTAAACAGACAATGCCTTTTCCCCCGGGGTGGGGGCGTCCAAAACTAGAGGGCATAGGTTTAAGGTGAGAGGGGAAAGATTTAAAAGGAACCTATGGGGAAACATTTTCATGCAGAAGGTGGTGTGTGTATGGAATGAGCTGCCAGGGGAAGTGATGGAGGCTGGTACAATTACAACATTTAAAAGGCATCTGGATGTGTATATGAATAGGAAGTGTTTAGAGGGATATGCGCCAAATTCTGGCAAATGGGACTAGATTTATCTAGGATCTCTGGTCAGCATGGATGAGTTGGACCACAGGGTCTGTTTCTGTGCTGTATATTCCTATGACTCTATGAACATTGGCACACTTGTAATGCTTTGAAGGCTGCGTGAAGCACTTAGAAGGGGAAAAGCCAAGATATTTTACGAGTGTTTGGAACTGTTGTTCAACACAACAGCTGCAGAGATTTTTGGAACACGAACATATTGTTCCACTTTAACTGCAAAATATCCAAAATCTGCTTGATATTTCAATTCAGCTGTTTCACAATATGTTGCAACTGTTGACAAATCAATTTGCAAACATCATACAATATGCAAATAATAACATTCCATTAAGGTTAAGAAAAACATACCCTGATATGTTGCCAGTTTTTAGCAAATGCAAGCCAGCTATTTAGAGAGAAGTATGTGGTTCTAGTTTAAAACTTCCTGTACTGTATTTTGAATTTGGGTGAACATTTAATTTGCTACCTTTTGTAGGTAAATTTGGCGAGTGGAGGTGGGGAGAGGTGGTTGAGGGTGGGGCATAGTTGTATGGAATGACACTAGTGGTAGTGGATTAGCAGCTTGTTCCCAGTTCAGTATTCCTTTCTATTGTCTGCAGTGGTAATATAAATGAGGCAAGGTTTACAATCAGCTGAAAGTGGTATTTCAGCTATTTTGGGGGTGAATTTAGGTTCTATTAACATGCAGGATATTGGCAATAGAAAGAGAACCACTTTTATTTCCTCAAGCTTGTAGCTCATCCTGTCTGTAAGTGACCTTGCAGCTGAGTTATGATGCAATGATTTGCTGAGTAAAGCCCTTAGAAGATGCCACTGTTTCAAGCTTTTCCATCGCAAGTTGCAGGTTATGTATGCACTGTGCTGTAATAGAGGCAGCAGAATGTTCATATGAGAGACGGAGATGGATGAGTAGGATTTATGGATCAAATTGATATACTGTATTTTGTGACATGCATTCTTGGCCCATGACACTGATTGGCAATTATTTTGTATTCATTTGTGCTTTTTTCTCATCTGTAACACTATATCCAACTCGCCAACCAACAAAAATAGATGGCGACTGGTTCCACTTTGCCACTTGCATAACAGCTGCTTTTCGATGTGTAAAGGCTTTAGGACCCTGGAGAAAACCTGTAATGATATCATGGAGATGCTCCCTCCTAGGTAGAAATGGCACCACATGGGCAGAGTTTGTTGGATATATAAGAGATCAATAGATAGGCAAAATGCGATTGGATTAGTTTGACAGAGAGCATCATATGTAGATAAAAGTCTGTTAATAATGTATCAGTAAGATTAGAGCCTGCTACATCTCCAATTACTACGTGTGGTAGTAGTTAGTGTAAAAATATATTAAACAAAGTTCCGAAGAAGCCTGGACTTAATGACAACAGTTGACCTTGCCTTCTCTTTGACCAGTCTGCTTTGAACCCAAGCTCTTAGGTGTGGGGATAAAACCACATGACAAAAGTCTTCTCATTTCTCCAAGTTTGATTTTCCTTCAATTGACTTTTATCCACCAGTTCTTTTCCACCATTCAGTGTTTGGAATGACTGCCAAATATACAGAAACTACTTTCAGCAAAAGACTGAAAGAGGTTTAGCCTCAATACATAGTCACTTCCCTCATCAGGTCACTCAGTTATAGGAGGGATATTATTGAGCTGGAGAGGGCTCAGAAGAGATTTACCAGGATATTGCCGGGTATGGAAGGTTTAAGTTATAAAGATAGGCTGGGATTTTTTTCACTGCAGCATAGGAGGTTGAAAGGTAACCTTATAGAAGTTTATAAAATCATGAGGGGTATAGACAGGGTTAATGATAGGTGTCTTTTCCCTAGGATGGGGGATTTCAAGCCTAGGAGGCAGATTTTAAATATGAGAGGCGAAAGATTTAAAAAAGATGTGAGGGGCAAATTTTTTTACACAGAGGGTGGTTCGTGTGTGGAATGAACTTCCTAAGGAAGTGGTGGATATGGGTACAATTACAATGTTTAAAAGACACCTTGATAAGTACATGAATAAGAAAGGTTTGGAGGGATATGGGCCAGGAGCAGGTAGGTAGGACTAGTTTAGTTTGGGATGATGTTCGGCATGGACTTGTTGAACCGAAGGGTCTGTTTCTGTGCTGTATAACTTTATAACTCTACGATGCTATGTGGCCAATTTCTTTACTTTTATTTTCACTCTCAGCTCTTAAAGCATATTGGATGTTGAGTTTATGCTTTTGCATTAAATGTGCAGTCTTCCAATGTGTACAGAGAAAACCTTCCAAATACAGAAATAAGCTGACCTTACAGATTCGTACTGGGTCAATTCTCATTGAATATGCAATGCAGGGTAATTCAGCCAGGATTAAATTAGTAACTCTAAAATGGCAAAGAGCAAAAGAGGATAGCAAAAAAGGGAAAATGCTGGAGAGACAGAGAGAAAAATCAGACCCAGAGAGCAAGAGGAATTTAATCTGTGCAGATGGAGCAACTTAACAGCAATAACAGAAACAATGGAGTGTTCACGATTTTTACCCCCAGTTTGCGCATATGTTGAGGAAGGGAATGAGCCAAAACAATTAGGATGGACACTTATATTTTTTAATAAGTTGGCTTTATATAAAACAAAATCTGTGCCCAAAATTACTTTCAAGGGCCATAGCATCACTTTGTTGAGGCCATGGTCAAGGAATTGAGAAATGAGCTGACCCAGCTCGTCACTTGGATTCCACTCTAACTTCTAACTTCAGCCATTATCTAGTGACAACACTTCCTCATCCACATGGTCAACAGTATGGCTAGGAAGTTTCAGGTGCCCCAGTTCTTGGTCATTGTAGTGGTAAGTTGTCTTATTGCAAGGCATTATTAAAGTACAAAGTACACGTCATTTTGCTATACCATGCTAAACTAGACAGCTGTTTAATCCAAATCTCCCAGACAGTTTGTCAATGTTGTGATCAGTACCCAGATACAGAAGCTATCCTGAGACTGATCCTCAGATTTCATTGTAGGAACTTGTTGAGACCTTGTCATTCATCTTGATAGAGGCTTTCTCATATCTAGCGACGCAAGACAGAGTACATGCCTTTTTCAATTGTCGTTTTTCCTGGAACAGGTTGCCAGCCTGTCACTATAGCTTCAAACACGGCCAGGAAATTCTCACACTCTTACTGCCGACTATAAGCTTATTGCAAGGATTTAATATCCTTATATTAAGGATATTAATAGTTAATAACATACACTTTTGATGGCCATCGAGTTGTAGAGTGAGGCTCAAACGCAAAATTATTGGCTCAGAGGCAGGGACACTACCCATAAGCGCCACAAGACCTCCTTGTGTTGAGATAAGATGTAAAAAGTACAGACTAAAGCTGTGAATTGTACTCATCATCAGTAAAACTAATTCAACGGGGTTGAAGAGTCAGGTCATCACAGCTCCATTGGATCAAATTGCTCGCTAAACCCATAATAGCTTGTACCATATAATTAGCTAACTCTAAGCAGGAAGCAAATGGGAATTTTACACTAATTTAATTTGTAAACAAAATTTGCCAATTTATGTAAATGAATTACTAACACATTCAGCTAAAGGAATAGTATAACTCAAAGAGCCAAGGATTATTATTACTTTTAAGAAGGAGAGGAGATTAAAAAGTGGAGAAGCAGGTTCTCCTATTTTCTCCCTCCTTTTCCTTGAAATCCAGAATGATCAACCCATGAAAAATGTAAATAGAGAAGTCAGTCTGGGCCCAGTTCTCTTCGATGGAACTTCAATACTTCAGTTATAATTTTTGCAGCAACTTTATTTTCTACCTCATTCTATATGGTATCTGCTGAGCTAGAAATGATTATCAATAAATCTTAATTTAAATACTAGTTAAAACATCTCCCAAAATGCTATCGGGTAGTGATGCTTATCTGTTCTGCTTTCCACAGCCTCCTATGCACCGAAGAAAAGTGGAAAACAATCTTTCCTGTACAACACTGATAAAAAATGGGTGCCATCATAGATATTGAAGGAGAAACAAGCAAAGACAGATGGGCTTTTCAATGATTTCACTTCAAATCAGCTTATCAGACATAAACTGTGCTTTGGTGGCATTGGACACACAACATGGATTCATCATGGATTTAAATCATAATTCTATTGTTGAAAAATATGATCAAGTATTTGAATTTATCGTTAAACTTTGGGTGGAGACAGTTTCACTTGCATGTATTTTCTATCATTGTGATGGATGTCGTTCCTAATGAAGTGTAAACATTTATCCGAAAGAAGAACAACTTTATTGCTTTCTATAGAAATGAGTTTTTCTGACAAACCTATTAATGAGTCAGTTTTCATTTATGTATTTCTTACATAATCCATGCATGCATTGAAAGCATAAGGTTGTGATCTAGTTTAATATTTATTTATTTATTCACTTCAAGCAAACATTTTTAGTAACACCTATTTTCCAAGGTAAAATTCCATTATTATGGCAGGAAGAATTTGGAGAGATTGTGGTGATTCAATACTGCACAAAGTAATATATTATGTCAAAGTCATTAGTTGTGAGTCAATTGAATTTTTCATTAATAGTTTATCTGAATAAAGAGCAGAACCATTGTGGTAATAATGAGCCATTTTGCCGATCCTTCTTTAAACTGATCTCTTTCATCAAGAATTAGATCATCTGACCTAATATCACGAAGGCGATGTACTGCAGATCGTGAAATCTGAAATAAATTCAAAAAATGCTGGAAATACTCAGCGGGTCTTGTGGCATCAGTGTTGAGAGAAACAATTAAGATTTTAGGTCTGTTACTTTACATCAGAGCTCATCTTGTTGGTTGAATTATCAGCCTTGATGAAAGGTTATCAAAGATCATAAAAGGCTTTGGTGTCCCCACTGGTTAACTGGCTCCAGCCACCGCACTATATTGAAAGACTTTTGTAAGATTCAGTTTTTGTTTGCAAAGTGCCTTCCAGTCATTTACATGGCTGTCTTGGCTGTTTTCAGGTTGTGAAGTGTTTGAGGTGTTGGGTTTATGTTTTGCATCATGTCAGTTTTTTTTGCAATAATGAGAGATATCACCTCAGTTGATATTGCTCAAACCTTATATAGGTTCCACTTTTAACGAATGATGCTTTAGCTGTTTCTTATATATTTGAACTTAACAAATGACAAGCTTCATCAATATTGGCATTGGTATAACCCAATAAATTGTTAGTAAGTAGCAATCATTCTAATGTCAGTGTAAAGTACAGGTCTTTGCCATCATTATTTGTGCGAGGGATTTTGATATGTGCCATCCATCATGTTTAGAATTTCAGGGGTGAATCTTAGTAGTTGCTGTCACAAACTGAATGTTGGGTTTGAATCATCTGTTTCTTTCAATTCCCAGTTTTGAGAGTTTGATGCCTCTTTCCTGATTATTTGTACAACTGAGCTTAGACTTTCTCGGCTTTAAATACGGTTCTAACCAAATCCTCTTACAAATTAAGACCCTTACAATGAGGTAACATATTTTATAACTGTTCTGAACTATCTCCTTTCTTCAGGAGAAAATTTCTTGCATACAACTCCAACCAGGACTCTTTCCTTAATCAAATAAATATCAAACTAAGCTAATTATTTTTAATCAAAACAGAAATTTCAGGAGAAACACAACAGTTCTGGTAATATCTGTGGGAAGAAAGTTGTTATCAATCATCAGAAAAGTCACTGGAAAATTGAAAAATTAACTCTGCTTTTGTTCAAATCTCTGGTTCTTTGTTTTAATTCTTTTCAATGTTTCTTCTCTGACTCTCGAAATGCAAATAAATTCCCATTATTGCTCCATGAACTCTCTCTGTTCTAATGCTTTTAAAAAATTATGACTATAATCATAGATAAAAACTACTCACATTGTATCACAAAACCCACTTCCATCCTGAAAAATATTGATTAACCATTATTGAAAACAAAAAATGCTGGAGATCACAGCAGGTCAGGCAGCATCCATGGAGGGAGAGCAAGCTAACATTTCAAATCTAGATGACTCTTCATCAGAACTGAAGTGAAGTGTGGAGGGTGCCGCATTTATGCAATAGTGAGGTAGGGATGTTGGAGTGCTGGAGGAGGAAGGATGTTGATTGTTCAGATTATGTGATCGGTATGTGTGAATGGCAGAACAATGGTGTGTCTAACTGCCAGACTGGAACAAATATACAGTCCTACTGGGGCTGGGGGAGGGGTTTAGGGTGACAGAAAATGTAACAAGCAAAGCTAAAAGAAAGGGAAGGTCTCCAGCATTTTTTGTTTTCAGTTCAGATTCCAGCATCTGCAGTAATTTGCTCCAACATTACAGTTACCTCCACTTGAGCTAAAGGGAGAGGCTGAATAGACTGGGGCTATTTTCCCTGGGCCATCGAAGACTGAGGAGCATGGATCGGGTGAATTGTCAAGGTTGTTTCCCCAGGGTAGGGGGCTCCAAAACTAGAGGGCATAAGTTTAAGGTGAGAGGAGAAAGATTTAAAAGGGACCTAAGGGGTAACTTTTTCACAAAGAGGGTGGTGTGCGTATCGAATGAGCTGCCAGGGGAAGTGGCAGAAGAGGGTACAATTACAACATTTAAAAGGCATCTGGTTGGGTACATGAATAGGAAGAGGTACAAGAGCCACATGCTAGCGAATTGGACTAGATCAGTTTAGGATATCTGGTCAGCATGGATGAGTTGGACCGAAGGGTCTATTTCATGCTGTAAAACTCTATGACTATGACTCTGCTCTTGGTTCCTTGACCTCACCAAGGAAAGGATATCTTCTACTTCATGGATCTTGCCATTGTTTTAGAGCCTGCCTTGGCATATCCTGTACATCCTCATGATTGCAACATTTGGCTTGGAAGTAACCTTTCTTCTTGCAAATACAGCAGTCGACTACTTTGGCGGGATAATTTTCCTGGCCACATCAACAACAGTTAGCTGGGATATAGGGGCAGAATTGATCCATTCAGCCCTTCAACCTGCTCCGCCATTCTAGATCATGGATGGCAATTTACTTCATCACATCTTTCCACGCTATCCCCATATCCCTTGATACCATTAGTAACTAAAAATCTATCAATCTCTGTCTTAACTAACTTAATGAGCAAGCTTCCACAGCCCTCTAGGATAGAGAATTCCAAAGATTCACTGACCCTTCAGTGAAGAGGTTCCTCCACATCTCAGTCTTACATGGAGAGTCTTTTATGCTGAGACTGGTTCTAAACCCCAGAGGAAACAATCTTTTGACATTTACATTGTCTTTCCCTTTAAGAATTTTCTAAGTATCTATGAAGTTGCTTCTCCCAATTCCAGGAAACACAGGCTAAATATACAAGCAAATGATGGAATATTTCCCTGCTTCCCCTGTTTTTATATTTTAACATACTCCTCAGTCATTTTTGTAATATGGTTTTGCCTGCCATTTTGAAACACCAGTCAATTTGACTTCCTGACTTCAACCTATCCATTCATTTGAACTGCCTTTGTTAAAGTTGTCATCTGTCAACCACAAGTGGTCAGACAATGCTTTGTCCAAGACATCAATTTTGTCCTTGATCAGTTAAATTGATCTATTAAATTGTCAAACCCAGTTCTTTCAAGGCTATACAGATCATAATTAAATGAATCAATACTTTCCTCTTATCATTGGGAATGCTTGTTTAATGCTGTCTGACAAAGATTGAATGTCATATATCACTGAAATCACATGCTGGGAATCAAGTTCTGCTAATCTCAGATTTTACCAAAGTATCCTGAAGTTCCACCAATTTAGCTGTCTGTTTAGACCCTGGTGAGCAGAACACATAGACTGGGTTTTATATTTAACAAACATTACCATAGATTAATGCCACAGGTAAACAACAATGGACTGTCAACATGCAATTCTCCGAGTTAAAGCTCTAAACCTCTTATAAAACTCCTCCTACACACACACACAGATGGATACAGACAACCAAAAACATTGGTGATGGGTGGAGGTAAAAAGTACTGGGAAGGTAGTTCAATGGTCCCTATTCACAGAACTCACTGAGATGATCTTATTCCTTGTCAGGATTTGCTGTTCTTCAGTCTCTCTCCTCTAAGTATGTTTCACATCCTTGCAGGAGGCACAGAGTAACTGGTTCTCTGACTTATTGGTTAAAAGCTACAGCTTACAGCAATAAGCATCCTTCTGTATTCATGTATTTTCCACTAAAGAGAGACAAACCACTCCACTTCCGGATATCCAAAGGCTTCTGGCAATATCATTCATCTGGCAATATCATTCACACTTACAAAATTTTCAGCTACCCAGGAGCCAACCACATAGTTGTTGGCAAGTAGCCTTTGTCATCCACAGCTGGTCACAATTCCACAAACCAATCAGCTACCCTTTGCTGGCTGAATTTCACTTTGTACACACTGCCTGATGCCTGTAACTAGCCCCTCTCATTATTTTAACAAAGAAGCAGTGTAAACACCACTTACAATGAGTTTCAGTAACCTATTTCTGAAAAGTGCAGCAAATCCTTCCACAACACTTGTTTTTTTTAAAACGGAAGGACGGCACGGTGGCTCAGTGGTTAGCACTGCTGCCTCACTGCGCCAGGGATTCAGATTCAATTCTAGCCTCGGGTGACTGTCTGTCTGGAGTTTGTACATTCTCCCCGTGTCTGCGTAAGTTTCCTCTGGGTGCTCTGATCTCCAGTCCAGAGATGAGCAGGTTAGGTGGATTGACCATGCTAAACTGCCCATAGTGTCCAGGGATGTGTAGGTTAGGTGGATTAGCCATGGGACATGCAGGGTTACAGGGATAGGGTAGGAAGATGAGTGTGGGTGTGATGCTCTTCAGAGAGTCAGTGTGAACTTGTTGTGCCAAATGGCCTGTTTCCACACTGGAGGGATTCTATGATAGTCCTTTTCCCATTTCAGTCCACAATAAGAAGTACAGAACAATAAAAAGATACACTCTCAATATGAAATAGACATCAAGTGTTTTTATTACTTTCTCATACATAGGTTTTTTAAATTGATCCTTTGCCTGACTAGGTACTATCTGCTCAGCCATGAATTGTATACGGTAGTGTACAAACAGGTTAACTCCTCAGCTTTACAGCCAGGCCAGATGCAGTGTGATATCTAACAAAACTTCAGCAACAATTCTGGCACATATCTGTCTGGCTAGGACCTGCAGCTCACTTCAAGTTTTCAGTCATGGAAGAAACTTTTCTATATTGCTCTTTCACTTGCTGTCATCACATAATCTTGATCTTGTTGTGCTGCTAAAGAATACTTAAAGTCTCCTGACATGAGGAAAACATTAACTTTGTTTCAGAAACATTCTCCTGTGGTTTCTTCTTTTCACAAGGCTGCAAGAGGGAGTTAGAACATATGACAATGCATCTTTTTCTGTGATGATATATACTGGTCTCATTAGCATATCACAGTCAGACTTATCCCCATGCCATAATTCAAAGCTAAAAAAAAAGCACTGTATCTTGTAACAATAGTTCTGAATGAAGTAATCCTCCAGGAGTATGCAGGAGAGACGGTTTATGCAACACTAAAACGGTAATGAAAACAATTATATTCATAATTGCAGAAATTATTTCAACTCATCTACAAATTTGAAAAGTTTTAGGATTTCTCAAACTTGGGTGGATCCTTCTGCGTAAGATTGACAATCGGTGAAATGGAATTCATAACAAGGGCAGTAAATGTTAACTTTTAGAGACAAAAAACCTGCAGATGTTGGAATCCAAGGTAGACAAACAGGAGGCCGGAAGAACACAGCAAGCCAGGCAGCATTTGGAGGAAAGGAGCAGTCAACATTATTACCTTTATTAACCTTCTTCAGGACTGTATGTGGGGGTAGGGGGACCTGCAGATAAAGTGGGGGAAGGGGTGTAGCGGAATGGTGGTGATAGGTGGACACCAGTTGACTTCTCTTTTCCTCCAATTGTTAAGCCTCTGACTCCAGCATCAGCAGTTCTTACCATCTCTGAGTGAGTTATTACCCCACTGCGAAGCTTCCTCTGATGCTGCCTGGCCTGTGGTGTTCCTCCAGCTCCACACTGTGTTATCTCTGACTCCAGCTTCGGCAGTTCTCACTATCTCTTAACTTCTCTCTGGTTTAGTTTCAAAAGTTAGAATTAGAATTAGGTTAATTTTCACTGTACTCAAGTACAGGAGTACAGTGAAAAGTGTACAAAATCGCCACTCACCAGCGCTATCTCGTGTACAAAAACCTGAATTTAAAAAAAAAGCAACCATCTAGATACAAAAACCAAACCAACCATCTAAGATACAAAAACCAGAATTTTTTTAAAAAAATGCAGAAATACAAGAAAAAGTAATGTCAGGCTTCAAAGCCTTCTTTGACAACTAGTGTCAAGAGATCACATCACTATCAGGAGCACAAACAATGTCTTGGCCCAAGGTTAATATTGGCAACTGGCAAATCATCTGAAGTTTCCTGATGAGTTGTAACAACTATACCACTACCATCAATTGTCAGCTCTTGATACTGTTTCACTAACGATTGAACGATTAAAACAGCAATGTGTTTCTTGTATTTTAGGATCATATAGGGCTTTTTGTTCACTTTTTCACTGTCTTCCAAAATCTACAAAGAACTATAAAGAATCTGAGCCCTTGGACAATATTTGTAAAGGATCAAAAAGTCATTTCAGGAGCAAAAACAGAAGTTGCTGGAAAAGCTCAGCAGGTCTGGCAGCATCTGTGAAGAAAAATCAGAGTTAATGTTTTGGGTCCAGTGACCCTTCCTCAGAACTGATGGAAA